AGGGCATTCAGGTTTGTGGATTTTGGGAAGGAGATAGTGTGGGGCAGTGCGGGGTTGGGGAACGATGAGGTTGGAGGCCGTGGGTGGGAAGTCACCTGAGGTGATGAGGTTGTGGATGATTTGGGAGATGATGGTTTGGTGCTCAGGGGTGGGATCATGATCAAGGGGACGGTAGGAGGAGGTGTCGGAGAGTTGGCGTCTGGCCTCGGCGATGTAGAGGTCAGTGCGCCATACTACAACTGCGCCTCCCTTGTCCGCGGGTTTTGTGGTGAGGTTGGGATTGGAGTGGAGGGAGCGGAGGGCTGCACGTTCTGCGGGGGAGAGGTTGGAGTGGGTGAGAGGGGTGGAGAGGTCGAGGCGATTGATGTCTCAACGGCAGTTGGAGATGAAGAGGTTGAGGGAGGTTAGGAGGCCTTGGGGTGGTGTCCAGGAGGAGGGGGTGTGTTGGAAGAGGGAGAAGGGGTCAGTAGAGGGAGGGTTAGGTTCACGGTTGAAGAAGTAAGCGTGGAGGCGGAGGCGGCGGAAAAACTGCTCTATGTCCAAGCGTGAGCGGTATTCATTGATCTGTGGGTGGAGGGGGACGAAGGTGAGCCCTTTGCTGAGGACTGACCGTTCATCCTCAGTTAGGGGGAGGTCTGGGGAGATGGTGAAGACTCGGCAGGGCTGGGTGCTAGTGTCCCCTCTGGAGCTGCTGGCTGTGGAGGTTGTGGGCGGAGCGACGTCGGCGTCAGCTGTCAGATTTCACAAGCTTCAAAATCTCCCCTCCCCCTACCGCATCCCAAAACCAGTCCAGCTCGTCCCCGCCTCCCTAACCTGTTCTTCCTCCCACCTATCCCCTCCTCCCACCTCAAGCCACACCCCCATCTCCTACCGACTAACCTCATCCCGCCCCCTTGACCTGTCCGTCCTCCCTGGACTGACCTATCCCCTCCCTAACTCCCCACCTACACTCACCTTTACTGGCTCCATCTTCGCCTCTTCGACCTGTTTGTTTCCTCTCCACCTATCCTCTCCTCTATCCATCTTCTATCCGCCTCCCACTCTCTCCCTATTTATTTCAGAACCCGCTTCCCCTCCCCCTTTTCTGATGAAGGGTCTAGGCCCGAAACGTCAGCCTTTCTGCTCATATACTTGGAATTATGTACAGGCCTCCAAACTGGGCACAAGATACACCGGGGAGATAGAAAAGGTATGTAAGAAAGGCAAAGTGATGGTGAACATGAGGGATTTCAATATACAGGTGGACTGGGAAAATTAGGTTGGTAGAGGATTGCAAGAAAAGGAATTTGTGGAATGTCTACGAGATGGCTTTTTAGAGCAGCTTGTGGTAGAGCCCACTAGGGAACAGGCAATACTGGATTTAGTGCTGTGCAATGAGGCAGACTTGATAAGGGAGCTTAAGGTGAAGGAACCCTTAGGAGGCAGTGATCATAATATGATTGAATTTACTCTGCAATTTGAGAGGGAGAAGATAGAATCAGAGGTAATGGTATTATAGCTGAACAAAGGCAACTTCAGAGGCATGAGGGAGGGCTGGGCAGCATTGACTGGGAGAGGAGCCTAGCAGGAAACACAGTGGAACAGCAATGACAGGAGTTTCTGGGAGTAATTCAGGAGACACAGCAAAAATTCACCCCTAGGAAAAAGAAACTTGGTACAGGGACAATGAGGCAACCATGGCTGACTAGTGAAGTCAGGGATAACATAAAATCAAAAGAGAAAGCATATAATGTGGCGAAGGGCAGTAGAAAACCAGATGATTGGGAAGCTTACAAAGACCAGCAGAGGCCCACAAAAAAGAAATAAGGAGGGGGAAGATTAAATATAAGGCTAAGCTAGCCAGTAATATAAGGGAGGACTGTAAGAGTTTCTTTAGATATATAAAGGGGAAAAGAGAGGCAAAAGTGGACATTGGACCGCTGGAAAATGATGCTGGAGAGATAGTAGTGGGGGACAAGGAAATTGCTGAGGTACTGAATAATTACTTTGCGTCAGTCATCACAGTGGAAGACACAAGTAATATCCCAAAAATTTGAGAGTCAGGGGGCAGAGCTGAGAATGGTGGCCATCACCAAGGAGAAGGTACTTGAAAAACAGAATGGCCTGAAGGTGGATAAACCACCAGGACCAGATGGACTACACCCCAGAGTTCTTAAGGAGGTAGCTGAAGAGATAGTGGAGGCGTTAGTGGTGATCTTTCAGGAATTGCTAGAGTCAGGGAGGGTCCCAGAGGACTGGAAAATTATTAACATGCCACTCCTGTTTAAAAAGGGAGAAAGGCAAAAGGCTGAAAATTACAGGCCAATTAGACTAACCTCAGTTGTGGGTAAGATTTTAGAGCCCATTGTGAAGGATGAGATTTCTGAATACTTGGAAGTGCATGGTAAAATAGGGCAAAGTTAGCAGGGCTTCATCAAGGGGAGGTCATGCCTGACAAATCTGTTAGAATTCTTTGAGGAAGTAACAAGCAGGTTAGACCAAGGAGAGTCACTACTTGGACATCAAGAAGGCCTTTGACAAGGTGCCGTACTGGAGGCTGCTGAGTAAGAGAAGGGCCCATGGTGTTAGTGGCAAGGTACTAGCACGGATAGAAGATTGACTGGCAGAAAGCAGAGAGTGGGGATAAAAGGGTCTTTCTCAGGATGGCAGCCAGTGACAAGTGGTGTTCCACAAGGGTCAGTGTTGGGAACACAACTTTTTACTTTATACATTAATGATCTAGATGAAGGAACTGAAGGCATTCTGGCTAAGTTTGCAGATGATACAAAGATAGATAGAGGGACAGGTAGTATTGAGGATGCGGGGAGGCTGCAGAAAGATTTGGACAGGTTAGGAGAGTGGGCAAAGATGTGGCAGATGGAGTACAACGTGGAAAAGTTTGAGGTCATGCACTTTGGTAAGAAGAATAGAAGCATGGACTATTTTCTAAATGGGAAGAAAATTAGAAGTCTGAAGTACAAAGAGACTTGGGAGTTCTAGTCCAGGATTCTCTCAAGGTAAACTTGCAGGTTAAGTCAGTAGTTAGGAAGGCAAGTGCAACTTTGGCATTTATTTTGAGAGGACTTGAGTATAAAAGCAGGGACATACTTCTGAGGCTCTATAAGGCTCTGGTCAGGCCACATTTGGAGTTTTGTGCGCAGTTTTGGGCCCCATATCTCAGGAAATATGTACTGGCCCTGGAACAGGTTCAGAGGAGGTTCACCAGAATGGTCCCAGGAATGAAAAACTTAACATATGAGAAGCATTTGAGGACTCTGGGTCTATACTCGATGGAGTTTAGAAGGATGAGGAGGGATCTAATTGAAACTTACAGAATACTGAAAGGCCTCAATAGAGTAGATGGTAGGATGATGTTTCCATTGGTAGGAGAGACTAGGACCCGAGGGCACAGCCTTAGAGTAAAGGGAAGACCTTTTAGAATGGAGATAAGGAGAAACTTCTTCAGCCAAAGAGTGGTGAATCTATGGAATTCACTGCCACAGAAGGCTGTGGAGGCCAGGTCATTGAGTACGTTTAAGACAGAAATAGATAGGTTCTTGATTGTCAAGGGGATCAAGGGGAGAAAGTGGGAGAATGGGGTTGAGAAACTTATCAGTCATGATTGAATGGCAGAGCAGACTCGAATGGCTGATTGGCTTAATTTCTGGTCTTATGTCTTATGGTGCATGTCCAGGTCACAACACTTTTAAAGAAATATAATGTCCCAAGGCATTTCACAGGAAATTTTTACAAAGCAGCGTTTGACATCAAGCCACATAAAGTTGTTTTAAGGCAGAAGTCTAAATATTTGGTCAAAAAGATATTTTTCAATTAGTACCTTAAAAGGAAAGTGAGATGGAATGGTTTAGGAGGGAATTCCAGAGCTTGGACCCAGTGAACTGAAAGAACAACCACCTATAATGGAGAGATTAGGTTATGGAATGCCTAAGAAACTGGAATTCCGTGAGTGCAGAGATCTCAATGGGTTGTAGGGCTGGAAGAGATTAGGAAGGATCACAGCCAAGGTGGAAAACCAGAGTGAAAATTTTAAATATGTCCATGCTTTGCAAATGGGAGCCTTTATAGGTCAATGAGCACAGACAATGATGGGTGAACAAGACTATGGGAGAGGAAGCACATTGGCAGCAGAGTTTTAAATGACTGGGAAGTTGAATGTTGGAGGCCAGCCAGGAATATGTTGAATTAAGTGTTGAGCTAACAAGGGAATAGAAGAGAGTTTCAGCAGCAGATGAGCTTAGATGAAACAAAAACAAAGTTGCTGGAAAAGCTCAGCAGGTCTGGCAGCATCTGTGAAGGAAAAAACAGAGTTAACATTTCGGGTCTGGTGACTCTTCCTCAGAACTGATAGCTTAGATGAGGTTGGAGTCAGGTGATGTCACTGAGGTGGAAATTGGCATTTTGGTGATGATGGGGGCATCACAGGGTGAAATATTTCACAATGCTGAGAACAGTCTAGTTCAGCCTCAGACAATTACAAGGGAGTGGGATGGAGTTGGTGGCTAGAAAGTAGAGTTTATAGCTGAGACTGAGACAATCACTTTGATCCTCCCAATATTTAAAGGGGGAAATTTCTGATGATCTAGACTGGAGGACTGTCAGGACTGTGTGCGAATTGGAGCTGATAATGTTCACGTTCACCTGTCACCTTTATCCTTCTCATTGGTGGAGGTTGACAATGTGGGAGATTCTTTTGAATTTCTGGTCAAATTGTAGAAAGATAAACTTTGTCTCCTTCACCCCTGCTTCTCCCAGCTCACTCCTTCACTCCGTCTCCCGTCCCATAAAGGTCAGAGGCTTGTGTAGATCCAGACCAAGTGGCAGATTTTCTTTCCTAAAGGGCAAGAGTGACACAGTTTCTGACAATTCAGCAGCTTACATGTGAATTTTTCCTGGAGCCAGTCCCACAAACGATCAGATTCATTCAGCTCCACTTCACAACCTGCCTTTGTATTTTGGTGGGTACTCACTCACTTTTTCTTTCTGTTTTGTCAATTTCACAGGATTTTTGAACATGGAAGAAAATAGCACTGTTCACCAATGCAGTCACACTGAGGAGCAACTGTTGAAATGTGGTGTCAGTGAGGAGGAATTCACTTACCAATCTGAGGTGGATACTCATCAATATACTCACACAAGGGAGAAGCCTTTAACTTGCTCTGTCTGTGGGAAAGGATTCACTCAGTCATCCAGTCTGCTGACACACCAGCGGGTTCACACTGGAGAAAGACCATTCAAATGCACAGACTGTGAAAAATGTTACAAACGCTCTGGAGATCTGATGTTTCATCAACGGGTTCACACCAATGAGAGACCCTTCAGGTGCTTTCACTGTGGGACTGGGTTCAGGCAATCATCTCAACTCACAGTGCATCAGCGAATTCACACTGGGGAGAGGCCATTCATCTGCTCCATGTGTGGGAAGGGGTTCACTCAGTTATCCCACGTGCTGAGACATGAGAGAGTTCACACTGGAGAGAGACCTTATAAATGCTCAGACTGCGGGAAATGCTATAAAAGCTCTGGGGAGCTGATGTCCCATCAACGTGTTCACACTGATGAGAGACCCTTCAGGTGCTGTCACTGTGGGACTGGATTCTGGCTGTCATTTGACCTGACTAAACACCAGCGAATTCACACTGGAGAGAGACCGTTCATCTGCTCTGAGTGCGGAAAGGGATTCAGTCAGTCATCTCAGCTCCTGACACACCAGCGAGTTCACACTAGGGAGAGACCATTTACTTGCTCTGAGTGTGGGAAGGGATTCACTCAATCATCTGACCTGCTGACTCACCAGCGAGTTCACACTGGAGAGAAGCCGTTCAATTGCTCCGAATGTGGGAAGAGATTTACTACATCATCGCACCTGCTGAGTCACCGGCGAATTCACCTGAAGCTACAGTGATGGGATTTTGCTGATGGTCACTTCCTGGAATGAACGGTGTTTGTTTGGTTCTGTTTCTACTGATGTTAATAAACTCCAGTCCAGTTATAGGTGTTAGAATTCTGCCTAGAAGTCAAATAAAGTACTTTGATGTTAAGTACGGTATGTTGAATCATTGTAATATCTGTACCATAAATTAGTTCCTTTTAAGGGGCTCTCCCTCTCCGTTTTTGCTCCAACTTCCCCTTCGACAACAAGCGAGGGGAACTCGTGGAGATTCTTTGTCACTAAGATTGAGATGATACTGCCTTCCCAATCCTGGGAAGCAACTGCTATCTGCTTTTTCCCTTACTTCCAGTCCCCACTGGGTCAAACTGTCTCTAAAGTTTTCCCTTGTCTGAGTCATGAACTCGCTTCTGTCTGCTCTCTCCTGTGCCTGCCCTGACACCATCTTGTTCTTGAAACCCCCTGCCGCCCCCCCACCCCAACACACACACACACACACACACATATGCACACACACATGCACACACACACACAAACTCTCCACGTTAGGTGACATTAATTGTTCTGTCTCATCAAGTACTGTCCCACTTTCCTTCAAATCTGCTGACATCACTGGTCTCCTCAAGAAAACAGTGCTTGTCTCCAAAGTCCTTGCAAGCCTCCTGTTCAATCTCTAACCTCCCTTCCCTATCCAAAATCTGAGTATTTTGTCACCTCTCAAATCCATTCCCAACCTCAGTTGAGCTGTCTGCCCGTTCCCAACAGCAAACTCGAATAAAGTCCCAAATGACTGTGATGGTGAGGAAGGTGAACTATCCCTCCATGTCCTTCTCAGTCTGTCTGTGGTTTTTGATACAGTTTACCACACCATCCTTCTGCAACTCCTGTTGTCCAGCAGGGTTCAGCAGCACTCTCTGGTTCCTTGTTTATAGATTAAATCGCAACCAGACTGTCATCTGCAATGAGTTCTCTTCCTGTTTCTGCACAATTACCTCATGTGTCCATGAGGATGTGACATTGGTCCCCTCTTATTTCTCATCCACATGCTTCCCCTCAAAGACATCTGAAGGTGTCAGGTTTCACGCATGTTGACAACACCACCTCCTCTCACACCGCCCATCCCACTTCTCGTAATCAAGTGGCAAAAATTTCCTCCAATTAAATACTGGGGCAGGTTGAAGCCACTGATTATCATCCTTGCTCCAAATTTCATTCCTGAGTAACTGTCTCCATCCTTCTCCCTGCCAAGTGGTGAGATACTAAACCAGCCTTGATTCAATAGTGACCTACAGATGAGTTGTTGACTAATATTCACGCCATTATAAATATCACTTCTTCCCACTTCTCTGACAACTCCACCCTTACCTCAGTTCATTTATTGCTTAAAATCTCTCTCTTTGCTTTTGTTCCCTCCAGACTGAACTATCCCAATGAACTCCTGGTTGATCTTCTACACTGGACCCCCTTGTCCCCTCTAGACTGGACTAGCCCAATAAACACTTGGCTGGCCTCCCACACTCGACCTTTAGACTGGAACATCTCAATGCAGTCCTGACCAACCTCCCACACTCATACATAAGAACATAGAATTAAAACAGGCCACTCAGCTCTTCGATCCTGTCCTACTATTCAATAACATCATGATTGATCTGATTTTAACCTCAACGCCACATTCCCGCATAGCCCAACAATCTTTCACCCCCATGATAATCAAGAATCTGTTTACATATGGAGAGGCACTGTGAAGCATACAGGAGGCACAGAGTGTGATGATTAGTAGCTTTAGAGAGGCAGTCAGACAGCAGGTGCAGTCAGGTAGATGGGTGACTGTCAGGAGAGGTATGAAGGTAGTGCAAGAGTCTCCTGTGCCTATTCCCCTCAAACAAATATACCGTTTTGGATGCTGTTGGGGGGATAGCCTCTAAGTGGAAAATAGTAGTGGTAACCACGTCTTGGGTATCACATTTGAATCTTCTGTTAATTGCAGGTTGTCAAGGTCCAAACGAGCAATTGTTATAAGAGTCACTCCAGTCAGGGGTACAGACAGGCAATTCTGCAGCCGTGAGCAAGAATTCAGGATGATGTGTTACCTCCCTCGTGTCAGGGTCGAGGACGTCTCGGAGCAATTGCAGCAAGTTGTCAAAGGGGAGAATGAGCAGCCGGAGGTTGTGGTACACATTGGTACAAACGACATAGCTAGAGAAAGGAATGAGGTTTTGCCGAAAGAATATAGGCAGTTACATAGGAAGTTAAAAAGCAGGACGCCAAAGGTGGTAATCTCTGGATTATTTCTGGTGCCAAGTGCTAGTGAGTGAAGGAATAGGGATATAGGGCAGATAAATGAGTGGCTGAGGAGATTGTGCAATGGGCAGGGATTCAGATTTTTGGATCACTGAGATATCTTCTGGGGCAGAAGAGACCTGTTTAAAGGGGATAGGTTTCACCTTAACTGGAGGGGGACCAGTATCCTGGTGGGGAGATTTGCTAATGCTACTCAGGAGCCTTTAAACTAGTGTGGGGGTTGGGGTGGTGGTGGTGGTGCAGAATCCTAAGCAGCAGTGAGAATAGAGAGAAATCTGAGGATGGTTTGGAAGTTAAAGAGAGCAAGTTAATTAGACAAGGAGACAAGAGAACATGGTAGCTCTGAAGAATTAAACTGCATTTATTTCAATGCAAGAGATCTGACAGGTAAGGCGGATGACCTCGGCATGTATGGGAACATGGGACTGTGATATCATAACAATTACAGAAACATGTCTGAGGGAGTGACAGGACTGGCAGCTCAATAGGGTTATAATAGTAGGGGATTTTAACTTTCTAAACCTTGCCTAGGACTGCCATATTGTAAGGTATTGGATGGGGAGGAATTTGTTAAATATGTTCAAGAAAATTTTCTTGGGAGGCAGTATGTTCCTGTTTGAGTGAAGGGTAAGGTTGTTTGGAGCAGTTAACAATGATGACTAGAGAATTGAGGCTGTGGTCAAGAGGCATATGTCAGGTATAAACAACTGGGATCAAGAGAATCTCTTGAAGAATATAAGGAGAGTAGGGGGCATTCTTAAGAGGGAAATCAGGAGGGCAAAAAGGGAATATGATATAGCTTTGGCAGATAAGATTAAGGATAATCCAAAGAATTCTACAAGAACATTAAGGGCATTGTCTGTGTGTGGAACCACAGGAGATGGGAGAGATACTAAACGAATATTTTGTGTCAGTATTTACTGTTGAGAAAGACATGGAAGCTGGAGAACACAAAGAAATAAATATTGATGTCTTGAAAACAGCCAATATTACAGAAGAGGAGGTTCTGGAGGTCTAAAAAGCATGAAGATAAATAATGTCCAGGACCTGATCAACTGTATCTCAGGATAATTTAGGAAGCTAGAGAAGAAATTGCAGGGCCTATAGCAGAGATATTTGTATTATCTACAGCCACATGTGAGGTGCCAGAAGACTAGAGGGTGGCTAATGTTGTGCCTTTCTTTAAGAGAGGCTGCAAGGAGAAGCATGGGAACTATAGACTTGTGAGTGACATCAGTGGTAGGTAAGTTGTTGGTGGAGATTCTGAGAGACAGGATTTACACACATTTGCAGAGGCAAGGACTGATTAGGGATAGCATATCTTTGTGCATGGGAAATTGTGTCTGACAAACTTGATTGAGATTTTTGAGGCTGTGGCCAAGAAAATAGATGAGGGCAGAGAGGTAGACATTGTCTACATGGGCTTTAATGAGGCCTTTGACAAGGTTCTGCATGGTAGACTGCTTAGTAAAGTTAGATCACATGAGATTCTAGGACAGCTTGTCAATTGGATACAAAATAGCTTGATGGTAAGACACAGAAGATAGTCATGGAGGGTTGCTTTTTCATTCTCGAGGCCTGTGACCAGCAGTGTTCCACAGGGATCAGTGCTAGGTACACTACTGTTTGTCATTTATATAAATGATTTGGATGAGAATGCAGGAGGCTTCGTTAGTAAGTTTGCAGATGACACCAAAATTGATGGTGCAGTAGACAGTGAAGAAGGTTGTCTAAGATTACAAAGGGATCTTGATCTAATTGAGCCAATGGGCTGAGGAGTGACAGATGGAGTTTAATTTAGATAAATGTGAGGTGTTGCATTTTGGTAAGACGAACAAGGGCAAGATCTACACAGTTAATGGTAGGGCCCTGGGGAGTGTTGTCGAACAGAGAGACCTAAGGGTTCAGGTACATAGCTCCTTGAAAATTACATCATAAGTAGATAGGGTGGTAAAGAAAGTGTTTGGCATGCTTGCCTTCATTGCTCAGACCATTAAGTATAAGAGTTGGGACATCGTGTTGAGGTTGTACAGGATGTTGGTGAGGCCACTTGAGAAAGGATATTTATAAATTAGAAAGTGTGCAGAAAAGATTTACAAATATGTTATCAGGACTGGTGGGCTGGGACTTATTTCACCGGAGTGTAGGAAGTTGAGGGTAACCTTTTAAAGTTTTATAAAATCGTGAGAGGCATAGACAAGGTGAATAGCAAGGGCCTTTTCCCCGGGGCAGGGGAGTTCAAAACTACGCATAATTTTAAGGTGAGAGGAGAAAAGGGACATGAAGGGCAACTTTTACACATAGAGGATGGTTCATATTTGGAATGAACTGCCAGAGGAAGTGGTAGATGCAGGTACAGTTAGAATATTTAAAAGACATTTTGATATGAATAAGAAAGGTTTAAAGGGATATGGGCCAAACACAGGCAAATGGAACTAGTTTAGTTTGGGAAACTTGGTTGGCATGGATGAGTTGGACCAAAGGGTCTGTTTCCATTCTGTGCCTTAAAAATATCTAAAGATTAAATTTGAGGAATGGTATTCCAAAGACATGCACCCTTTACAAGAATTTATTTTTCCTTAAGTGGATTACTCATTGTTTTCAAACCGTGACCCCCTCTAGTTCTAGAAGAAATAACCTTTTTATATCCACTCGGTCAAGTCCCGTCAGGATATTACATGACTCAATTAAGCCACCTGTCACTCTTCTAAAGTACGGAAGATACAGGCCAGGCCTGTCTAGCCTGTCCTCATAAGGCAACTCCACAATCTTGAGCTCATCCAAAACTCTTCGGCCATGTCCTAACACAGAACA